AGAAAATAAAAAAATAAAAAATGTCTTAAACTTTTGTGCTCCACTTTATGTATTTCTATAGAAATTTGTTTGAACTAGATTTTAAGATTCTTCTTTTCTTTGTACTTTCGCTTTAATGAACATTGTTACCATGAAATTTAAAATTTTTCACAATGATGTAGAAATTTTTGCTTTGCGTAAAAGTAACATTGAAAAAGCATGATTATCATAGAATCTTCGTATTTCGGTTTGTGAAAAATTTGTCTTTTTTCCTTTTCGAATATTTACATTGCACAGAATTGTTACCAGTGTAGCCGTCTTCGACGACAAACTTATAGGGAGACTGTGGGTGACAAGGATACCGTCACCTGAGTATTTACTTTATATTATTAAGCTGGAAAAAACTCACTGCAAACAGGCAACAAAACTGTGTCATTCTCCATTTTCTTATCAGAATTTCATTGCGCAAATAAAAACAGCAATACAAGTGCTTTTTTTGCAAACACATTGACTTATTCCCGAGAAAAAGCAAGTAGAATACATTTGCAGTCAACCAACATATTTTTCTCATTGCGATAGTCTCCAATCATATAAAAGACACTCCATGATAGTCATACCCACACTCACAACCGGTAAGAAAAATAAGAATGGCGCACTTTGTTATTTGCCAGCAGTAGGTTTTTTTCAACTTCAGAGAAAAACAGTGCACAATCAATACTCAGATGAAGTAATACTGAATCAACAGATGTTGACAAGCATACACCATAGTGCCAGCACTGTTATTTAAGCAAATTTCTAGACAATGCTACTCAAAGTAACCAACAACAGTACTAATGCATTCTCTAAAATATTCTCTGCACTAATAAGATACAGATTTTCGTACGAATAAAAAACATTGAAATGTTCTATTGATATTTGTTGATCCAGATTTTAATAATTGCAGTTTTCTTCTTTTTGATTGGAATTGACAATTATTTCAGCAACGAGTTTATATTGCAATGTGAGTATTTTCATGCAAGCAATAATAATTAGAATTTCTTCTTTCCACAACAGACGTGAACGTTAGAATATAGGATTCTCTCAAGGTAGAAATGAGCAACTTTGCTCATATAAAATGTTTAACTTAACATCACTTTAAGGAAAAACACTCATAATTTGATATCGTATACTGTAGCAAAAGCTTTCAACACAATCCATAAGGTATTTGAATATGAAATCCGATGACACTGTTTTAATTTTTGCGTAAAAATCTCTATCCACTATATTGATCTCAAATCATGATTGGATAGAAGAAATACTTTGTCGAAGTGTTAATTTTTTCTGCCATCTAAAATAAATATTTTGTTTTTCGTCTATGGATTTTTTCCCTGATTCTGTTCTATTTGATTCTCATTTTACTCATTTCAAGCCACCCATCGCAGTAAATCTGTCTAAGTAATTCAGTCAGCATGGACTTTTTATATTTTTATCGATAGCTTGATAGCAGCTACGATTAATATCGTTTCGATTTCTTTGTGTTTGTTGATTCTTCATTTCATATTTGTTCACAATCAACGAAAGTTGCATAGCATCAAGTACTAATACAGTGAAAGTACGCTTCAAATTCAACGGTATAACCAGATCATAAGTCACAATACTCAACAACAACAGTATGTTTCTCTCAAATGTGTGAATGTCGAAGCAATAGTTCGTTTATTCGCTGCCGACGTTACCATAACACAAGTATTTCGAAACGATGAAACGATACCGATCGAAGCAGTTTATTCTTTTCCAATGGAAGAACAAGCAGCTGTGTATGCCTTTTGGGCTCTCATCGACGACCGAAAGATTATTGCTTAATTGAAAGAGAAAAAGAAAGCTCAACAAGAGTACAGCCGCCAGAGATGTCCATCGTGCTGCTGTCGCTGCCGCTGCCGCCGTGGCAATGGCGGCTCGGCAGCGGCAGATTTTTTCCAAAAACTATCGCGGCGCGGCAGCGGCGCGGGAGAGATGTTTATTTTGCCGTCGCGGCGGCGGCAGCTTTTTAGGAAAAAATTTCAAAAATTCATGAATTTGCACAGAATCTGCATGTTTATGTGTGCTATACTGTAAGACTTAGCGAATCTGATTGATTAGCGGCATCAATTTTATTTCAAACCAGTCAAAGCCTTGAAAATCAAAACATTTTTTCGAATACCAGCGCGGCAGCGGCGCGGTAGCAGCAAGTTTTTTTTTGAGGCGCGTCGCGGCAACGGCGCGGTAGCTTTTTTTAACAGGCCATCGCGTCGCGGGAGCAGCGCGGCAGCTTTGTTTGATTTTGGTCGCGGCGCGGCAGCGGCAGATTTTGAGCCGCGATGGACATCTCTGACAGCCGTGCACTTCAACAAGGCCATGGTGCTTACATGCTCGAACAAGATGAAAACTCATCGAACAATTTTATTATCAACGTTGGTGCACTTCTACCTGGCAAAGAATGCAAAATTATCATCTCCTATGTCTCTGAGTTAGGTCTCATTGAAAATGGTACGAAAATTCGGTTTGTTGTTCCAACATCGATTGCACCTCCCTACAAACCACGCAAGGGTGTGGGTGTGGGTGTGGGTGTGGGGTGGGTGTGGGTGTGGGTGTGGGGTGGGTGTGGGTGGGTGTGGGTGTGAGTGTGGGTGTGGGTGTAGATGGGTGAGGGTGTGGGGTGTGGCTGTGGGTGTGGGTGGGTGTGGGTGTAGGTGTGGGTGTGTGGGCGTGGGTGCGGGTTTGGGTGAAGAGAAGCTCCACACCCACACCCACACCCCACCAACACCCACCCACACCCACACCCACACCCACACCCACATCCACACCCACTCACATCCACACCCACACCAACACGCACACCCACACCCACATTCACACCCATGCCCATATCCTACCCCACACTCACACCCACCCCACACCCACACACCCACACACCCCACACCCACCCACACCCACACACACCACAACCCCACACCCACCCCGCACCCACCCCACAACCCCACACCCACACCCACTCACACACCCCACAACCCCACACCCACACCCATCCACAACCACACCCAACGGCCGTACATTTGTTAGTACATCATGGATACGCGTTACGTACATGTGTTGACACACCATAACAGTGTCTAAACGTGACAGAACGTCATCTGTCGACACCCGTGTTGGTAGCATGTGTGGTAACCGTTTAAGGGAATCCAACGAGTTAAGGGAAACAGTGTAAAATGAATAGAGGTCATGGTATAGCTCTCATAGCGGACCAATAGGATTCGGAGTCTGTAAAGTATGGATGTTCCATATTTTACTAAAACTGAAACTCATTGGTCCGCTATTAGAACTCCAATGTGACCTCTATTCATTTTACAGTATTTCCCTTAACTCGTTGGATTCCCTTAAACGGTTGCCAAAAGCGTGTCATATCGACATGGGTAAAATATGGTTGGTCAGTCGATCGATAAATAAAGAATTGTAGAAAATATTGAAAATTTTTAAGAAAACTTTTTTTGTAAACATTTATCAAGTTTCTTTTTGTGTTTTTTTCATTGAATGATATCTTAACCAATGAAAATAATTCAGATGCGTCATCGTTGTTAGCAACAACTGATTATTCATCTAAGTTAATAACAAAATATTATAATTAATTAAATTACCTGTAGAAATTATCATACTGAGTAGCTTATCGAATTTTAATTGTAATTTGCGTAACTCACTTTTTTCTCAACCGCAACAACAAACTTCTGGTGATGACTGTGCTAAGTGTCCATAATATGTCAACATCAATGAATGATACTTATTTACCTATCACTGGTATTTGTCTAATATCAAGACCTCATAATCTACCAACTGGTTATCATTGTATTCGAAAAGGTAAATATAATAATAGTTCAACTGATAAGGAAAGTACTTAGAATGTTTACTTCCGTTATGACTCATTCGATAATATTATATTGAGATACAACAAGTCAACTAAGGGTTCATAGTCCATGACTTACTGATGAAGAGCTTTGATCAGAAATCTTCTTTATAAGTGAATTTAATAGCTATTAGAGATAATCGTGAAAGCTTTGAAGAAAACAAACATATCTTTCTAGAGGTATTCAAAATTCAGGTAAATTTGTTCGTTTTTGTTGAAACTTTTAGAATTATCTAATGATTATTAAATCCAATTATAGACAAAAATTCAAGATAAAAGTCTTCGCCGGTAGGTCATGAAAATGAACATTTTAAGGCTTTTTGCTTATCTTAATATAATCTATTGAATGAGTTGTGCATGAATTAAGATGGAACTGGAAATTTCGGGTACTACCTTCACAAAATAATAATTAATCTTATCAGAATATTTACACGAGCGATTTGTATACGATATTTTTTCATTTAGAAATCATAGATTAATTTCCAATGTCATTAACTAATATTTAATAAATAATAATACTTAAATATCACAAGTTTCCATAGACTGACATCTAGAGAAGACGTTCAAACCAGATGCCTCTAGACGTTCGGACCCTTATTACGATCTTTTTTTTGTGGTTTTTAAACGAATTTTTTCAAAGTGTTCTATCCCGGTGTATTGCATCAAAATGACTAAGTCTGTTACTCCATTTATGATTGTGCCTGTGAGCAACCTGTACTAGTTACAGAACCGAAATCATCATCCATTATGAAACAAATTTTTATTATTAAAATATATTTCGCAACTATTTTCTTCTGAGGATAATTCAAATTCTGTCTAATGTATAATTCGAATTTGGGTAGACAACATAGGCTTTTTATGAAAAGAGTTTGGACATTGGACGGCGAAGGTGAAGATCAATAAAAATACGATTTTACTACTTGGAGGGTCTTTACAAATGACTAGTATATTTAGTAGGGAGCTTTTGTTATATCGACTTGAGAGAATGAGACATCGATCATACATCTAATTGAACATTTTAAAATAATATTTCTATGATGCATTAAAAAATTCAAAGTTTATTTATCCATAAAATAGTTTCTTTGATATATTTCTTTTTCTTTTAGTTTTTGATGATCCATCACGTGATGCTGATCTAATGGCTAATTCTTTACTTGAACGTAAAGATCGTTTTCTTTGTATTACGCGTATATTTCCATTACCTGGTAATAGAACATTAGTTTTGGAAGATATTAAACTTATTAATGAACGTGATGCTCCACCACCTAATTATTTTGGAATACTAGAAACAGTAGATACAAAAGCTAAAGGTACAGCAAAACGAACAATATGTGTTAAACTTGTTGAACGGCAAGCAGGTATAAAATGTATATGTGATATCATATTCCTTTATCGCTCAAAACAACCACCACATTTTTATACATTAATTGGTGATATTAATGGTTTACAAATGTGTGTTAAAGAAGGTACTGTACCACCATTTCGAGTATCACCATCTGTGCCATCATCAGAAACATCATCAAATCTTTATCCAAATCCAATGAATGAACAATCATATTATGGATCTCAACAACATTATCATACATCAGAAAATCTATATTCAAATACAATTCCGAAAACAATTGATGAAAAATATATACTTGAAGGTATTCCATTTGTAATTAATCCAAAATATTTATCTGAAAATCGTAATGGTGTGCGTGTGAGTGTGGATGTCGGTGTTGATTATGAGAGAAGAAGAACCTTCACCCTACCCACACCCACACCCAAATCCATACCCACCCCACATCCACACCCACGCTAGCACTCACACTCTTTTCATCGGAGTGATTCAAACAAAAACATCGCATTACTAAAATTTTTTTTCCATTCGTCAACAAAATTTTCTTATTTGTTGTGGAAACCAAGACAACAGATCTTATGATGATGAGATTTTACTTTTTTTAACTTTACTTCTACAAACAGTCACCGCCAAAATATTACGGTGAAGTACGCGGCAATGAGGAATGGGCACATCGATGTTTTTAAAACTCCTAAAAAAAACATATTTTTGTTAGCTCTGACAACAATAGAAAGTGATCTATTTATGTCAAATTACAGTTCGGTCTCCGATGACTTGAATGTTTCCATTTGATTAAATGACAAACTAATGCTCAGAATATAATAAAAGGCAGTAAGTTACTAGTAGACTAATACATTGTTATTCTAACTCGCTTAAGTTCAATTCGATATTGTTGAAAAGCAAGTATCAAGGAAGCAACTGTCTGAGATGCACTCTTCATGAATATGCAAATAGGCTGCAAATCTGATTTGTTTCGATACTTATTTTTGAAAATTTAAGCTCGAACAAGCATTGTTAATTGCCAAATAGATTGCTGGTTGATGATCCAAATGACACGCTTCTTTTTCTTTTCAGATCAGATTTCAAGTACAAAATCTAGCAATGTTGGACAGCAAAATCATAATCATCGTTTCTCAGATATCGTTGGGGAACCACGGCGAATGCTTTTACCAATTCAAGGCTATGAGAAAATGCCTCTAGTATCTCTTGAAGAAGCAATTGTTCCTCTTGTCTCACTTGTTCCAGATGTTGAACAAATGGTTTGGGTTGCGAAACAGAATTCTAATGGTCCAACCGATGGTTTAAGCAGTGATGAGTCGGCCTCTATCATCCTATATACAATGGAATGGGAACCGTATGAAAAATCTTTCTATGTTATACTCAATAGTACCCTACGAGCAACCATTCGTGAACAGTTAAGACCATGGTTTTTATATCTTCGATTGGTTATCAATGCTCTCGAGAAACTTCCATCAACTACTCGTACTGTCTATCGAGGTGTCAAAGCAGATTTATCTACTCAGTATTCTCGAGGAAGCACTATTGTTTGGTGGGGTTTTTCTTCATGCACTCTGTCCATCGAAACACTTAATAATGAGCGCTTTTTGGGAAAAACAGGAATAAGAACTCTTTTCAATATTGAATCTTACTCAGCTAGAAATATTCGATCACATTCATTTTATGCCGAAGAAGATGAAGCATTACTTCTTCCAGCTCGTCATTTTGAAGTTGTTGGTTGTCTTGATCAGGGAAATGGCCTTCATATTATTCAATTAAAAGAAACACAACCGAAGTTCCCCCTTATCAAACTGAGTTCATCATAAAAAACAAAATATGTTTAATGGATTTTCAGATTTTTGTTTCTACTCATATGTCAACACTCCTACCATTTCATTATCGCTTGTGAGACAGACATCATTCAACAAAGAGAATAAAACCTGCTGGACAAAAAATATTTGAAGTATCAGTTTTTTCCAGTGCTCTGCGAATCTTGAGGGTGTGGGGTGTGGGTGGCGGCGTGAGTGCGGGTGTTCTGTCGATCGACATCCACACCCACGTCCATAGAAATCAAACATTCTTTCCTTCCAAGAAAGAAAGAATGTATACATATGAAAACTAAAACCATCCTTCATCAATAAGAATAGCATTGACTATTGATGGTAAGGAATCAGGTCATAATACATTGATCTCGAACTTGTCAATGCTCTGCAAATAGTTCTTTAGGAGTTTATTGACATGATGTTCAAAATTTTTCACTGCCGTTCTAGTTGTATAAGATGTATTAGGTAAATAAAATGCTACTGGTTGCTATTCTTGATTAGGTGTGGGTATGGGTGTGGGTGTGGGTGGGTGTGGGTGCGGGTAGGCATGCACCGAGCCCGAACTATAGTTCGGGGTTCGGACCCAACGGTTCTGGTTCGGGTTCGGGCTCGGGCTCGGTTCCAAAGTTCGGGTTCGGGTTCGGGTTCGCGTTCGGATTCATATGATAAAAGGTGAAACTGTTCGTAGTTTAATAAAAAAAAGGCAACATTTTTTCTATATATCATATTCAACACAATGCACACACTCTCAAAGTAGTGAAAGAAGGAGGGACACGGCTGAAGATATTACTGATCTATATCATATATATATATAACGGAAAACAGCATGTCAGAACTGAATTGAATCGATTTTTGATCTTTTTACATAAAACCATTGCTCACAACACAGAAATAATTCTCTATGACGCAAAGTATTACGGATAACATCTTATCTCCAAATAAGTTTTTGTCAAAGAGAAAAGAATTTTTGGGTGACTAATATGATAACTGTCTAATTATATCAGCCTATAGAAGAGGTGTGGGTGTGGGTGTGGGGTGTGGGGTGTGGGCGTGGGTGTGGGTTGAGTGTGGGTTGAGTGTGAGCGTGGGTGTGGGTGTGGGTGTGGGTGTGGGTGTGGGTG